ATGGGGGTAGAAGGGAAATGGCTAAAGTGGTACTTTTGGGGGATAAAGAGATTTTAGTGGGCAGGATTGTGGAGGAGATTGAGAATTTGTGGGAGGATCGAGGGAGAGATTACAGTTAAGCTGAATTACCTCAAAAAAATTATTCTGTCTTTCATTCTAAAAATTTATCCACTATACTATCCACTGTGCATTTCGAGCCCATAATAATCATTCGAGGACATGTGCAAGGGAGTGAATTAGATAAAAAAATCTGCCACAAAAACATCTTCAAAATTTTTTGAGAGGAAATGATCGGGTAATCCTCATGAATTTTTATAGTGCAATTGTTATTGTGTAAATGTATTAATAGGTTTGGATTTTAATGACGGATTTGATGGTCGAAGAACAGTAGGTAATAAATAATGTGATTAACCGCGATGAGGACGAAGGGCGATGGCATTATGATGGATATTCCTAAAACCATACTCTTGTTACCTCGCATGCCACTCGAGGGTGGAGGATAAACCTCAAGTGAAGACCATCGGCAATTGTGTATTTATTCCAAAACAAATTTATAAATGAATCATGTGATAATAGAATTCAGATAATGCGGATTAATCGTTTATTCATAGATCGGTTAGACTTCATTACTTGGAAATATGCTTAATTACTGAAAGAAGAGATCTTCCACGAAGATATAATTGAATATATCGAAATGTGGAAGATCGACATTGACAGATAGTTCATGATGTCAGTATTTTTCTGATTTTTACCGTTTTTCTTGAGAAAAAATCACAGAGCCGAGAGGATGGGAGTGATAAAAATCTCGACATCATGTTGGCACGCGTATGGCAAGGATTTTATAATCAACACCGGTGATTGGTCACTCAGAAATGTTCATTTTCCAACTTCGCGTAATACCGTGCGGTCATTGATTTGTAAATGGCTCACGTGTGACAGGTATCGATGGTTCTAGAAAGCTTAAAATGTTGACAATTTATTCAGAGAAATTCTAATTGCAGAGATCGAAGGTGAATTTTTATGAAACATTTCCGATTGTTCAATGAATCGCGCAATCAGTTGAAGGTTTTTTAATGAAAAAAAAAAAATATATATATGAATGAATAAGTAGAGGTAAAAATGAGAATGCTTGAGAACAGGTGTTTGTTTATCTGTCATATCTATCGATATTTTAGGATCGTTGAGTCATTGGAACAATTATAATAACAAGCGATATCAGTTGAATGGAAAAAAAATCGATTCGCATAAGTCGATTCACGAGAGATAAAAATCTGTCCTTGTCGAGGAGGTGTGGTCCAGTATAATTTTTCTAATGACTTCACACGAATGAATTGACGACACATGCATACACCACCTCTGGGTTATTGCGTATTCCATGATTATACCTCAAACGTGTGTGAATTACGCAAATTGCATCACCGTTTCAGATTTTACGCACGTTTAAACTCATACAAAGTTCCGAATTCTTCGGAACTCTTTAGAAAGCCTAGAACTTATTAAATGAAGTTAATTTAACACTGATCTTTGAATTATTGATAAATCATTGAACTAATGGGGAGAAGTGAGCATTTCCAGAGTCTGGAGGTTAAATTTTTCTTAGCAAGAATAAATTGTCTTTAAATCAACGGAAAAACAGGTTTCTAAGTTGAATGCATTGACACAGGTGAGATTCCATCTGAAATTTCAGGGGAAAATCAATTAAGAGCGATTGGTCGACTCAAAAATGATTTTATTGTCGTATAATTCATAATCATTGTGATATCTAGAGACAAAAGGATGTAGGAAACGTATCACTTTGGCCTTGTCCCACATGAACTCCGTAGTCAAGAAAACATCATTGATATGATTTGATTGGAGAATAATGGAATATGAAGAAATACAGACGTGAGATCTGCACTCGATTCGGATCGTTCTCCTTCTGTCCACTCGCCCTGTCATATATCCAGGAAAAATTGCCGGCAGTGAATATAAGTCTGCAGAAAAACTGAGTGCCAAGGCGCAACAAGTCCATCTGCGTTCATCCTTGGGCTTCTCTTTAATTAATTTTTGATTGATCGAGAGGAATTTAGGTGAACTAGCATGGTTGAGCCGTTTCAGCATTTTCCGTCGAACATGCCTCCGGCAAGGTTGACATCTAATCGTCAAATAAAAAAACAAAGAGAGATTCATAAATCTTTACTTCTCTTTAAAATTCAATCTTCAAACAGGCAACATCAATTATTTTCGGTTTTTTTATCCACAAATTTATAAAAGAATTATTATTAATTATTCAATATGAGAACATTTGGTAATATAATGAAATTGAGTAATTAATGGTATTATTTCGTCATTTTTTATTTTATTTTTATTTTCATCTTAATAGACGAGAGAATATAATTTCCTTTGAAAATTTTTTTTTTTATAAGTTTTGCATTTTTTGTTGCTTTTGGAGATAAATCGATAGGTCGGTCCGTAAAATACATAAATTATTTACAGTTTGATATTTCTTGAGAAGAAAAAAGGAAGAGAGCGATCACAGCAAAATTCGATGAAAGTGACGTTAACGAAACGATTCATTAAAAAATGACCAACTAAATAGGCTTTTACTCATGCGTAAAAAAACAAAATAACAGTCTTTAAGAATTTCGTATTCGAGAGAATGCCTGAATGGGCGAATTTTTTTCCTCCATTTTTTGTAATTCCTCATTTTTATGCAGTTTTTTTTTTAAGAGTTGAATGAATAAGTGCATGTATAATAGACTCCATGACACAACAGCAAGAAGGCACGTAGGCGCTACCGATAAAACGAGTATCTAATTTATTCTTCAGTCTTAACACCTGTTACGTTAGTACCGGTGATGATACAAAAGTACAATTTTCGGTGATATTTCGAAAGACAATACAACCAAGTACCGGACATACATTCTGTTGTTTGAACCGGGTGAAACACCAGTGCACTAGTGCGCGGATGTGGGCGTGGAGTCATGAAATCAAGGACACGTTGTTCTAGAAAGCCTGCATCATTTTTTTTTTTATCCACACTTCATTTTTCAGAAACACCATTTTTTACTCTATTTTGCGGTAATGACTGTCGGATCAGGTGGAACATACGGTATACAAGTCGTTACGCTGATTGATATATCACCTTAACCGATCAATATCGCTTATCGCACAACATCAACAAGTTAATCAACAATTCCGTAATGTCCCCCAATAAAAATTCCCCTAAAGTCCTCTGAAGTCTTCCATTTTCATTGAGCGAAAACCGAAAGCACCTCTGGTGGACTCACCATATCGTCATCTCAGGAGATCTAATGAAGAAATGCCCTTAGTCGAGTTAAGCTTATACAATTAATCATTCAAGACAGGATAAACAATGGATAGTCCTTGATACTATTAAAAAATAAAATACGTGCGAAAAATAAACCTTGACGTCTCTGCGCTCGCACACCTCCGGATTAAATTCCCAGGATAATAGACCAGGAAGAAGAAAAAAATCATGAAATATGGAACAGAGGCTAGCGATATCCATTTTTCGAGTCGCCATAAATTCGTTTGGATAATATTCTTTACTGATTTTGGAAAATCGATTTCCGAGTATCAAATTAATGGGATGATTTTAAAATTGCCGATTGGTTCGGTTCCAGTTCCAGTTCCAGTTAGATGTGCCCCTCAAATTAAACCGATTCGAATGCTTCGATTCGGAAGCAAAATGAAATGAAATCAGGTGATTTAGTTTTCCACCCAAATAAGTGGCAAGTTTAAAGGATTTTATCCATGACCGAGAGTAGCTCAATCGGAGTCACCGAGGAAGACGTTGAGCGCCGATCTAGTTACGCAATGGAGCACCTTGTGCTAGTTCGTAGACCGGATCGGCACCGAGTGAGTCTCATTGTCAAATAGCCGTTCTAAAGTGGACAACAGAATATTTGGGGTTGATGAGAAAAAAAAAATTGAGGGAAAAAATGTCAAGGAATAGAACGGCTGATTAGAAATCGATAGGAACCGGAACGACAGGTGAACGCCAGTGCCTAGAGCTGTCTTTGGAGTTGCTGTTGAACCTGACTGAAGGGGGTCGAGGCCATGCCTGCATACGTTGGCCACACTTTTTATTTTATCCCTTCTTTGTACGCTGGATCATTAACACAATAATTATCTCCCTCGTTTGAAGACTCCGTTGTACTTCGTCTACTCAATTGGCAAAGTGCCGTTTCATTTATTTTTTCATCATCTGGAACGAACGAAAAATACCCTCAATTACAGCTCAATCGTTTAGGATAAAAATTAGGAAAATTAGAATATTTTCATGGATAATGGGATTAGAAGGACGAAGGACCTGTTCCGCCTTTAGACACGAAGCCTTCTTTTTTTCCGTAGGTACTGACTACAAAAAATGTCAATATCATTCAGAGGTGACTTCTGACGCAAACAAACGGATGTAAACGGATTTAAATTGCTTACCGATCAAAATCAAGTCCATTCCCTCAGAAATCTAGCCCCAAATCATGAGAAAACTCAGCGCAAAACCGCAGCATCCGGATTGAGCAAAAAAAATGATAATCACGTTGGATTTAATATTATTCAACGATTAAATGAGTCTCACCTCGATCGAGAGAGCTTCCTGGAGCCTTCACGTACACCTGTCTAATACTCACACCTATGTGTCGTCAATCGATCGATGAAAAATCTAAAGATCAATAATTCACTGAACCATTAGAACAACGCATGGAACACCCCATAATGTTACAGTCATACTGTTCCAATGATTTTCCCTAGGTGGAAGACAACATGAGTTACATCGATGCTTATATATGGAAAATACTCGTAAACGGTGATTCTATTATTTATTGGCAATAAGCCTGTACAAGGCCAAGGCTCTGGTCTTAATGTTACGTCGTCTGACTATTCTATCACCCAGCTATGGCCTCTTTCTTTTTCCACAGAAGTCATTTCATTGTCAAGGTTTCCACAATTGTGTAATAAACAGAGAATTATTTCGGTGTTTACGTTCCATTTGTTGGAGATTTATTGGTGATGTGTTCTTGGTAAGACGGTTTTGTTTGATTGTTCGTGTTATTTATTTTCAATGGGAAAATCGATTGAGAGAATGGTAATTGTAATAAGACAAGTTGAGGGCCAGTTGTTGAGGGAACGCTAAATACTTGTTGGATTCGAGGGAATTTGAGTAATTGCTCGGCTTTTGATTTCACAGGATCTGAGATGGATATCAGTTTTCATGGTAATAATGTCAATTGCTTGTGCAGTTTAAATATATTTTTCTTGGTTGAGACATGAGATTTAATGGTGGTAGAGGTGTTTAATTGTGCAGCGAAAATAACAGGTGGAAAAATGGCGGTTATTCTGGGCACTGCGGTGGCAATCACGGCTTTTTCAGCGTGTATTGCACCATTGCTCCAAGGCCCGGATGATGATGGTGAGTTAACACGGTGCCAAGGTTAATCACTTATAAAACACTCGACAAATCCAGAAATCACCAAAATTAGAACAAGTTTTAAAGATTTTTATAAAAATCATACGGGATTCAAGATTCGATAAAAAATCGGCTAAAATACTTGGTTCCAGTAATTTTTTCGTAAAAATGGAATTCGGTGGGATAGAAATTTTCTATTCGTACTATTATCAACTTTATTCAATTTTAGACATATCACAATGAACTTTTCGATTTTTCGTTGCAATTTTTTCGTTCAAACAATCGTTGTTAAAATGATTTTACACTAATTTTTGATTTTATTTATTTTATAAAAGTGACTCTATAATGTTTATTCGCAGATAATGAAGTCGAAGAGTCAAAAAAAACTCTTAATCGTACCACCAGATCAGTTCAGAAGTCCCAATCCTCATTGATGACAATTTTCCTCAATGGGCTCAGGAAAATTGGTATAATTGCTCCATCAGAGAGTGAAAAAAATCCAGAAAAGGGATGTCAGAATCCTCTGGCTAAAGGAAACACCTTATTCACGTGTTTTTCGCCAGTTGTCCCTGTTGTGGAAACCTCAAGAACTCCAAGAGGTGTCACCGCGAATGTACGCGAGCCAGTGCATGATTCTTTGGTTTATCCCGAGGAAGATTCAGACCCACGTAAAATAATGCAATGTGTTAACATCAATGTAGTCTTGTCGAGATCGAGTCAATCCACGCAGACAGAAGATGATTACCTGAGTGCACTGGAAAGTACAAGGGCTAGTCAGACACATAGGATACACGTAGCTCCTGCGGTAGCACCAAAATCATCGGATGTGGGAATTCAAGCTGACCCATTGATGACTGAAGTCAGAACCGCTTTCCCAAGCTCCACATCATCATCTCAAGCGAACTCATTAATAACCGACGAGTCATCTACCTCTTCTGTAGCTCCACCTGCGAAATCATTATCATCAGTTATCCAAAATTTCACTGACGATCGGGCATCAAAAATCTCAGAGCAAGGAATTCGAAAACCTCCGAGAGCTCGTCCCCCTAAAAAAATAATAACTGAAGCTATAATTCATCAAGACGCATCATTATCATCTAATCGAATTCCGATGTTGAGCAGATCCAAGTCGGCTGGCGCTTTTGAAATCAGATCTACACCAACAGGAAGATTCTCTTATGTTCCACTCTCTCAAAATCACTCTTTCATGAGATGTTCATCGTCAACTCTGGAGCCTCCGTCAGCAACTACATATCCCCTTCAACTCCCAGCACCGAAATCCTCGAGGATTCAAGAGTGTAGACAGTCCGAGAAGATGCTCTCAGACTCATCCTCACTAGCTGGCAGAATTCTGCGTTCGTGCAAGTCTTTTCAAATTGCAAAGTCGAACAGTGGAAGAGAATCTAAAACGATGGGAGCGCAGACGTATTCATCTGATCACTTGACTCGTACGAGACGCATCTATTTGGCTGAGGCATCAAGACCCAGCGTTATGACTCAGGATTTAGAGAACGAGATTCGGACAGAGGAGTATTCAAACTCAGAGGTCATGTCGTCGACCAGAGTGCTCAATGCATCAACTGGCAGTCCTTCTCAGAATGACCCCAAAAGACCGCAGGAATTCTTAAAAAAACCCACGGAATTTCCCCATGATTTAGCTCATGGAGACAACCAGGAGGAGACAATTGAGAAAAGGTGGAACAGATGCATGGATCACATCATCAGGAATACAAACACCTTATTGGAGAGATATAAAAGTCTAGCTTCCAACGATAGTGAGAATATCTTTAATGAGTGCCCAGAAATGCCAAGCAAACCACCAGAAGTTCTGCTCTGCCATAATCCAACAGGTTCGAAGACTACCATCTCGGATTTTCAGACAAATTTTCGGGATCTTAGTAAGGAAAAACGAGGAATTGCTGACCGACTACGAGATTTCTTCCGACGTCGTGGGAAGAGGAAATATCAAAGCGTTTTTCAGGAGTCCGATACGACCTTCGAGAGGCCTCTTCGGTGGAACCTGATGAGACCGCAGCAATCCAATTCGTTATAACCGGGAGTTTACAATATGTCAATGTAGATTGAATATTTTAATATTTTAGTTTGTGAATCTCAGAACGTTGAACGATTTTCATTTTTTATGTAATTGATTATTTATTTATTGGTGCTGATCTCGAGGGATTTTTCGTTCAAATAATCACTTCGAGATGTATTCGTTTATCCGAGGATATCGGTCATCATTCGTAGCAAAATGTATCACCAGATTTTTCGGACGAGTATTAGTGCTTTGTAAATTTTTGTTCTTTCTGAAATAGTTATTGATAAAGAGAATTGATAATTGCATATTTTTTTTAATCATTGCACACTTTTTCGGCGAGTTTTTGTTTGCAGAAGGATAACTCATGGTGAGGCGCCATAATTCCCTTGATAATTTAATCTATGAAGGGGGGTACCCCTAGGATGAATGTCACAATATCATAAATCATTCCTAGTTATACCAGTTTATCAAGTAACGATATAAACCCCAACTGGTGCACTTTCATTGCAATGTGGTTCTCTGGACTCGAAAGATTCCGCGATGAATACCCGCATCAGGGTTTTCCCCGTTCATGCACCTCCAACTGGACTTCCCCGCGTAAAAAAGTACTGGTCATTGCCTCTTCTCCCCTTAAACCCATCTCTGGCCTTCAAAATGCAAATGAAACATCTTAAAAAAAATATTCCGCGAAGAACAGGAAAAATCCCTGTCTACACATAGAGAAAAAAAAATCCTTTCCTCAAATAAAATTTACGAATTACAAGAAAATCCATATATTTAAAATGACAAAGGTAATATAAATACGAAAATTACATAATTTATAAGAATCAAACATGAGTACGTGTAGAAAATTAATTGTTCGAGACAGGATAAAGGAAAAGTTTTTCCAATTCATACCTTATCTTTAGTGTTTTAATGGACTACCTGAATTAAATTGCATGGGAAAATACTGGTATTGAATTTTTTTACCTCTGGACTTTGAAACGGCGAGTTCCAGTGGGTGTTTCCCATTATCTCGTTTTCCCTGTCATAAGAATCCGGAAAAGTGGAAACAGTTGTGAATGGTCTCACCGAAGGAATCATTAGCGCATTTCTTCGATGTCATTCATGTAACGAGTGGCGCTGCACCTGGTAACCACCTCTTAATGGGCGGTATAATACTCCACCGATTACCAGAAGTGATCTAAACGTTTTTCCGATAAGATTCTTCTCTGAATTATATGGATTACGGATAGAAACATCAAATAGAGAATTAATTTCGCAACGAGGAATTCCGTCTTGTGGGGGTCTTGTGTGTAATTAAGAAACATAAAATCGTTCTGGTCGAGTAATCATCGTGTGGTTTGTAATTTCGAATATGCGATCTTGTATTTTTAATTTCTAGATGAAGGTATCAATGAAGACTTGACGCACAATTTTATGCAGACCCACCTCAGCTTTTTTTGCATTTGAATTAATTGGAATTTTTCAATGAAACTTTTGTCCTGCCTTTTTGTGATATAACCAGAGGATGATAAAAATGCAGAAGTGATTATTCATAAGTCCATTGGAGATAATGATTCTAACACTCTCGTGCCTCTCGATAGAATGCAGTAACCAAGAACAACTTGTAACAAGAGGATTTTTTATGTTATAATTGTCGCGGATAAATGTTTTAATTGTTGTAACAATTGATAAAGAGGTAATTAAGACGGTAATTGATGCTATTTGTCATGTTTCTCGGAAAGAGGTGTGTGGCAAGAAGACTGATATTAGTTGATGTTTTATTATATAATGTAGATAACAATATTATTGACGTAATGATGATTTCATGGTAAATGATAATTGATTTTTCAATGAAAACATCAATTTTCTGGCATATTATGAAATAAATCTTCATGATTCACAGTATAATAACCATAAAAATTTGAGTCATTAATCGATAGTAAAGATTCATTAGCGTTTAGTGATTCTCACGGGGATGGGATTCATTGTAATATTTTCAGAAAAACTTTTCTGGATTTGAATACTGAGCAAACGTGGAAGAACACCTCAAAGTTTTAACAGTAAAATTCATGAAATTTATTGGTATTTACGCTCTCCTGTCGTTAAACCATCGATATATTATTTCATCCAGAATAATTTCTGCAGTCTCCCACGTGTTCACTCCAATCCCAAGGTCAAAACTATTGCAATGGCTCATTGCGTTCGCTTGTAACATTTTTTTTTACAATATCGAGCCAGGGTAACGTTTCCTCTTCCGGTATGTGCTGATTCATCCAGGAATATTAATAAATAAAATCATTAATACTCCTCCATTTTACAATGAAAGTACATAATTTATACCTCGAGCTCACTTAATAAAGTTAATAAAATTATTGTTATATCTGTATTATAATTATAAAAACGATAATTCTCGGAGACTAAGGTACGCGCCCAAACAAGTTGACGCTCTTCGTTGAATCTGAATTTTTTGTAACAGAAAAAATTATTTAATGAAATAAATAAACAATCAATGATTCATTAATTTATATTAAGTACTTCTGGAGATTAAACAAATAGATTAAATAAATATTTTCATTCGATTGAAATAATCGATTTTTCCGTGTATAGTTTGTCGAATGGAGTAGGTAAAAGGATTGAAAAAATAGTTTCGTAAGAGTCCGTTGATCAACGCGAATCGATTGATTAACGATCTGGTGGCCTCAGCACGGGGTGATCGTGACAGTAACACAGATTCAGTACCTCGTTGTGCCATGGAATGCCACACTTGACACCGCCCCCTTGACATTACCCGCCTCATTACATCTCTTATCCTTTTGAATTTTCCATCACTCCAGGGATCACTGTAGTTCCAGGTGACAAAGAGAATCGATAATTATGAAAAACCATGACGAAAATTGAGGAAAAAAAAATGAAGGGTTGTCTTGAGTCCATACACTAACCTGACACTTTCACCGTTGATCGTTTCGTTCTCTCACTGGCTAGTCCCTTCACCCTCAAGGTGACAATAAAATGGGTTACCATTGACGCAGTTTGTTGCTAATACTTTTGCATAGTTGAACGGAACTACGTACTGATACGCTTTAAATCGAGAAATCGTGCTCAACGATCTTGGATCGAGTACTTTACATTCCCCTTGATTTTTATTGAAAAAGAAAAAAAAAATCATATGAAAAATATGGAAACGGAGGGAGAATTGTTGAAAGGATCGAGTGGCCCCAATAAGGACAGCTCTCGGGATGTTATCGGAAATGATCAATTTGACAGCATCAACTTGTTATTTACGTCGGTAATTTTTCATGCACCGAGGATAACTCTAAATCAGAGCTTAATAACTTAATGGTTTAATGATCCTCCGGGAAAAGAATGAGTGGTATGTTGCGTGGTCTAATTTTTCTGGAAAATAAGGAAGAACTTGAAGGACAGTTACTTTTTGCTTTTTAAAGATCACATTAGATCAGAGTGTTGGATTTTTCCGGGATGATAAATGATGGGAGGTATGACATCTGGATCTATGAGCCTTTGTTAAATATTTCCTTGAGGTACTGACATGATAAAAATTACCGAGGGCGACGGTTTAGCTGGGAGCACTTTTTGAGACCTTGGAGTGTGTCAGCCAAGGCTGCAGCATCATCTACCCTGAGGATATTTTAGAAATATCGTCTGCATAAAACATCAATCCTTGAGGTTTAATTCTAATCCACCACTCCATTTTACAACAGTCAAGTTGATTACCAAATTAATTATTTTATTGTCATCTTATTGATACAGATCCTCCGAGTGAATCTCGTGATAGAGTGATATTTAGTTTGAAAGTACTGACCTCTGAAATCCAAATGAAATAATCAAACTCCGGAGGCTATTGACGTCCGGATATTGTCTAACTCCAGGACATTGCATCAATAATCCGAAAAACCTTGTCCCTGACTTCCCCTGACCAGTTCCCTTTCAATAAACCTTGTCTTCCCAATCCAATAATCGCCCATCGCGCTCCTGTCATTAGGAAATTCAAGGTTTTCGAAAAATTAAATTCTCAGAGTAAAGTGCATCAGGAGAGTAATAAAAACGGTATATCCAGAGTAATTAAGAAATACATCATTGCCTATCCATTTTCTTTCGATTAAGTACACGTGTACACCCGGATTCTCCTGAAACAATTAAAAATGAACCTAAGAAAAACTAAATGCGCGACTCAATCATTTATCCACGATTTCCACTAGTTTCTGATGATGGAACTATAAAAATTCAATGAGGAGAATTGAGTTTCAATCTAAGAATTATTATTAATCCTTGTAGCTTCATTTTTTTCCACTGAATCAGTGGAAGTTCTGGTCGTTCAATCAAACCATTTTCGCTCATTATTTTTATTTCACAATATCATGATAATCAGATGGTGATCAAATAAAAAATCATTTAATTATTGATAATTATTTAATTATAGTGTCCAAGTCCTTGACAACGCGATGGATGGAAGTATTGAGTGTTCCGATAACGAAAAGAGTAAAAAAAATAGTGAAAAGAATTAAAAAAATGAAATCCATGTGATATTTTAAGTTTTTCTATGAAAACATTGCTGAGGCTGTTATTAGCTGCATCCAGATGGGATAAAAAAACGGAAATATCGGAAGAGTACGCTTAAGTATTCAGCATTGTGAGTTACGTTGGGAAATTATTTTAATTGCTCGGGTGATACTGGGGTCAATAGCGTGATTGATCAGTATTACATTGGTGCTGACTGATAGTCACAGCCGATTGCAAGGTCGCTGTCCACACAACTAACGCGTGTTAGGTTTGATTATATCATAAAAGTGTGAGAATTTTTCCCCTGGATGCATCTACTGTTCGACACCATTCATTCACTCGTTCACAATCAAACTCATTTAAATCCGAGACAAAAGAGAATGGGAAGAAGGTGCGAGCATTTTCCGGCATAAATTGCTAGATCAGTGCACCTGTCGGTGAGCTAGACGCAATTAACGCCTTTAGAGAACAATGGGATATTAATTCACCTTGAAATAATGTTGTCACTACCCTTGAATAGACAGTCTCAATCTCGCTGCGTTGGATTAATTTTCAATCACACTTTGTAGCGGCTGATAGTGCTAATCATCTATCATATTTCAAATTACAGGAACTGATGGAGATAGAGAAATTGATATGCGTTGGAATTATCTCTGATTCAGTAGAATAAATTATTGCGAGAAATATTGTGAGTATTATCATTTGTCACGATCACAATCTATGATCAGTGGAATATGTGCAATTGGAGAGAAAGAGTGTTACCAATGAGCAGATTTTAATATTTGGCTTAAATTTGATTGATATTTCTCTCAGTATATTAGATATAAACTGACCAACTAGTAAAACATGCACTCTTCCCGTTTACGAATTCGCAACAGATTTTATTCAAATTAAAAAAAAAAGTGATTCACGCACTTGTCCGTTGCCAAAGTATTATTCCCTGGCAATCCTCTAGGTCACTCATGTGCTCCATTCCCATAATCCTCCACACACTCAAACCGGGGAATCCCATCCCGATGTCACTCTCATTCCTTTGAAATATATCACCCTGAATGGGTAGTTTTTTCTTCTACCCCGAGTGAGATCAGCTGGTGCATTAAACCCAATCCACCAAGACTAGATCCGTGATGATGGTGTTTATGAGAAACCAGGGATTCACCAAGTGAGAGAGTGAGTGGCCTCGTGTGCTGGTGAATAAAAAAAAATCACCAAGCAAAAGATAATAATGATTTTATTCCTCTGGACCAGGACAAGTGTCCTTGGAGCAAATTCATAGTGAACATTGTGCTTTTACCAAAAGCAGTGGTCATTGAATTGCACCAGCACGTACGTATTAGCATCGGACTCTTGTCTACAAGAATGGAATTATCCTTAGAGCT